TGCAACTTCAATGCCTCAGAAGTATATCAGTTCTCCAAGATCCTTAATTTCAAATTCTTTATGTAGGTTCCTTTTCAGACCATCAATCTTACTCAGATCATTCCCGATGACAACAATATCATCCACATAAACAATTAGGACTGACACCAAAGATCCCCTTCGCTTCACAAACAAGGTGTGATCAGATTGAGTTCGAGTGTAGCCAAAAACAATCAAGGCCTTTCTGAATCTGTCAAACCATGCTCTGGAAGATTGTTTCAAGCCATAAAGTGACTTCTTAAGCCTGCATACCTTTCCCTTTTCAGTATCATTGTAAAAGCCAGCAGGAAAATCCATATACACTTCTTCTTGCAGATCCCCATTTAGGAAAGCATTCTTCACATCAAGTTGAAACAAGGGCCAAGAGTATGAGGTAGCAAGAGAAAGAAGTATCCGAACAGAGGTCATCTTTGCAACTGGTGCAAAGGTCTCTAAGTAATCAATGCCATAGGTCTGTGTGTACCCTTTTGCAACAAGTCTTGCCTTGTACCTTTCTATACTTCCATCTGCCTTATATTTTACTGTGTAAACCCATCTGCATCCAACTGTCTCCTTGCCTTTTGGTAGATCCACAATGTCCCATGTCTGATTCTTAATCAAAGCTGTCATCTCTTCCTGCATAGCTGTCTTCCACTCAGGTTTGGAAAGAGCCTCACTAACACCCTTAGGTATAGACACTGAATCAAGAGAGGAAAGGAAAGCACGGTAGGAAGGAGAAAGTCCACTGTAGGATAAGAACTGTGAAATACAATGAGCAGTACACTTTCTCTTCCCTTTTCTGACAGCAATAGGGAGATCAAGGTTATCTGTAACAGTGTTAGTAGGATTAATGGGAACTGAAGCAGTAGCAAGACCAAGAGGAATACCTGAATCCATGTCGGCCGAATCTGGAGTCTCCAAGGAATCGACAGGAAGTGATGTGAGTTCTGCTGTAGTGGAATCAACCTCCTTGTGAAGTCCCTGTTGTAAGTAATGCTGAGAAGCAGAACGCAAAGGAGGTGGCAAGGTAGGTGACACAGGGTGGTGGGTAAGCACAGGAATAGACACGGGGATTGAAACTGGGAGAGGAATAGACAGATGACTCACTTCCCCAAAACACTCCCCCTGAGAAAGATTCTTTGAGAAGAAGTACGCGGATTCAAAAAAGGTGACATCCATGGTAATATACCGGCTCCTAGAGACTGGATCATAGCAGAAGTACCCTTTCTGATTCTCTGCATATCCAAGGAAGACACACTTCTTTGCCTTGGGATCAAGCTTCGAGCGGTGAGGASCAAGGAYATGTGCAAAGCAGACACACCCAAACACCCTGAGAGGAATATGAAACATCTCCCCTAGAGGAAAAAGGAGACTGAATGGGGTGCTGAATCCAAGTATACGAGAGGGCACCCTGTTAATCAAATATACTGCTGTGAGAACTGCATCACCCCAAAACCGAACTGGAACTGTAGATGTGATCATCATGCTTATTGCAATCTCAACAATGTGTCTATTCTTCCTTTATGCAACACCATTCTGCTATGGACTGTAGGGACAACTGCTCTGATGAACAACACCATATTCTAACAGATATGAGGCAAGGTGTCTTTCAAAATATTCCCTGGCATTGTCGGATCTGAACACCTTTATTCTTGTTCCAAACTGAGTTAGTACCATCTGATGAAATTGCCTCACCAAGGATGGTACTTCATCATGGGATCTCATAAGGTAAATCCAAGAGTATCGTGAGAAATCATCCACAAATAAGAGAAAATAGCGATAGTCTCCCATAGAAGGAACATGGTAAGGGCCCCACACATCCGAATGAATAACATCAAAAGAAGAAGAACATCTTTTATTACTAGGTTTAAATGAATGTCTACAATGCTTTTCAAGTTGACAACCTTCACACTCCAGACTTGACAAACTAACAGACTCAAAGAGTTTTGGAAACAAAAAACTCGAAGAAAAAGGTAAATGGCCCAAACGATTATACCAAAGCATAATTTGACCCACAGACCCCGACTCACTATCCTTGCTGACATGATGACTTTGATGAGGAGGAAGTACATCCAGGAGGTAGATTCCATTCACTTCACGACCACTCCTAATCGTCATCTTTGAATCCAGATCATGCAAAATACAATGACCAGGAGAAAAAATTACTGAGAAGTTCAGGTTTTTAATCAAACTACTAGCAGATAACAAATTAGTGTTCAATCTGGGAACATGAAGGACAGAGGGTAGAGAAATAGAATCACTAATCTTGACAGATCCCTTCCTAGCAATAGGAACATGGGATCCATCAGCTGTGGAGACCCTATCTCTGCCAGAACAGAGCTAGTAAGTTGAAAAAATAGTAAAGCTCTGGGTCATGTGCCCTGAGGCTCCAGAATCTATAATCCAAGGAGGTCCCTCCTTACCTGAAGTAGAAACATAATTTGCAGTGACGTGTGAACTACCTGTGTGAGCAAAGAAGTAGAGTGGACTCCACTAGTGCCACCTATACCTTGTTGTCCGCTTGCGACTAAATTGGAACTGGCTGTATCCCGCTGGTTCAGAAGTAACCCATACCTCTCAAGTTCATCCCTTACTGCGGCAGCTGCAACAGACTCCAGAGCAGCTATAGTAAGAGGGGCCGGAATGTCACCAGTAACTGTCATGTGTGCATTTCCTTTCTTATTTTTCAATCTAGTCGGTACAAGATGTGGGTGAAGCTTCCAGCAAGTATCTCTTGTGTGTTTAGGCTTCTTACAGTAGTCACAGATCAAATCTCTTTTATCTTCCTTCTTGGTTTCATTGCCACCCCAATCTCCACTTTGTTTAGGTTTCACAGCACTTACCATGGCAGACTGATCAGGAATAAGGTTTTTCATCATCACATCTCTCCTGCACTCCTCTCCTAACACAAAGGCATATGCCTGGGAGAGAGTAACACTGTCCCTGGAAAGAAGGTGCTGTCATGCAATATCATACTCAGGATTAAGGCCAACAAGAAATTCAAACACCYTATACTTCTCTAGATGTTTCTGATAGGTAGTTGCATCCTTAGTGGTTTCCCAAGCAAATGTCTCTAAATGGTCAATCTCCTGCCACAGGGTTTTAAGGGCTGAAAAATATGATGCAACAGA